CACCAGCCCACGGTTCCAACCTAGCCCACGGCCCAGCCCTAAATCCCAGCCCAACCTCTTGCTACCCAATCCGACACTCCCCCGAACACCCACCCCATGACAACCCGTGCCAAATCCAGAATAACACGTCCCAAACAAATCCTTAATCTTAAGATCACCGGCCATATTTCCCCTCTCCCTCCTACCTACCGTAGTGCACTAAAAGATCCAAACTGGTATGATGCAATGTGTGATGAATTTAATACTTTGATTCACAATAATACATGGGAACTAGTACCCCCCTCCCCCACCCAAAATGTTATCTCAGGGAAGTGGCTATTCCGTGACAAATTTGGTCCTACAGGGGATTTGTCTAGGTACAAAGCTCGTTGGGTAGTCTGCGGGTTTAATTAGTGTTATGGCGTTGACTACAGGGAAACGTTCAGTCTTGCCCTGTCTCGGGGTTGGCCCGTCTATCAGCTGGACGTCAAAAATGCTTTTCTTCATGGACATCTTCAAGAGACAGTTTATGCCAGTCAGCCATCCGGTTTTGAGGATCCGTCTCGGCCCCACTATGTCTGCAAACTTAAGAAAGCACTCTATGGCTTAAAGTAGGCTCCTCGATCTTGGTACCAGCGGTTTGCCGGCTTTCTTCAGCACATCGGTTTTCAGGGGTGCAAGACGGACACTTCTCTGTTTGTTTACTCTCATGGTATGCACATGGCCTATCTACTTCTATATGTTGATGACATTGTCCTCACCGCCTCATCCTTCGCCCTTCTCACATGGATCACGGACCGTCTGAAGACTGAGTTTGCTATGACCGATATGGGCGAGCTACACTTCTTTCTCGGGATCAATGTTCAGCGCACCAAGGAAGGCCTCTTCTTACATCAGACTCAGTTCGCTCATGATAATCTGGACAAAGCAGGCATGCTTCACTGTAAGCCCATCTCCACTCCTATTGACTCAAAAGGAAAAATGTCTGCCACCTCAGGCGAACCTATTGCGGATCCATCTCTATCGCTCTCTTGTAGGAGCCCTCCAGTACCTCACATTCACCGGGCCGGATCTTACTTATGCAGTTCAGCAGCTCTGTCTCTACCTCCACTCGCCACGGACCACTCACCTCACAGCTTTAAAACGGGTTCTGCGCTATCTTCACGGTACCACCACTCATGGGATCACTCTCACTCGTTCCTCGCCAGACTTTCTTCGGGCCTATTCCGATGCTGATTGGGCCGGGTGTCCAGACACACGCCGCTCCACCTCTGGCTACTGTGTTTTCCTAAGGGACAACTTGGTCTCATGGTCCTCCAAAAGGCAACAAACCACCTCCAGATCAAGTGCTGAGGCCGAATACAAGGCGGTCGCAAATGCCGTGGCAGAAACCAATTGGATATGTAACTACTTCTTGAGCTTCATCAACCACTGCGCCGAAGCACCATCATCTTTTGTGATAATATCAGTGCTGTCTACTTATCCTCCAACCCTGTCCAGCACCAACGCACCAAGTGGAAGTTGATATTCACTTTGTCCGAGACAATGTCGCTTTGGGACATGTTCGTGTTCTTCATGTACCATCTTCCTTGCAATACGCCGACATCTTTACGAAAGGATTACCATATCTTCTCTTCACCGACTTCAGACAGAATCTCGGAGTACGCAGATTACCAACGGAGCTGGTAGCATGTTAAATATTACGCCGACATCTTTACGAAAGGATTACCATCACTTCTCTTCACCGACTTCAGACAGAATCTCGGAGTACGTAGATCACCAACGGAGCTGGTAGTATGTTAAATATGTAGAGTATATATCACATATTTAATATTATTGTTATATTTGGTAGATTCCTTGATTGTATAGGATTTGTATTTAATATTGTTTCCTTTCCAGTATACCTCCTACATGTATATGAGGGGAGGTGATTTACTTGTAATTATTATCGAATAATATAATTCTTCAACCAGTTCATCATCGTTTGCTTTCCTTTTGTATAAAACGAAGTGAGTCCAACATCATAAACTGAATAAGGATAATTTAAATCACTACAAGAATTAGACGGAATTGCAACAGCAATTTCTTTTGCAATTTTTGTATTATTCCGTTGCTGATGATAATTGCAACAGATTTTCCGTTGCACATTTGCCGCTGCAAAAACCATTGTTGCAAATTCATTTCTGCAACAGATTTTCCGTTGCAGAGCATTGCATCGGAAATTTGCAATAAAATTTATTGTTGCAGAATTTTGCTACAGAAGAATTGCAACGGAAATGTCGTTGCTAATGTTTGCAATGGAAATTTAGTTGCAACATAATGCAACGAAATTTTGCAACTCTTTTTTCCGTTGCAAAATATTGCATCGGAAAAATGCAACAAATTTTCCATTGCTAAGATTTCCATAAAAATAGTAACATCTTGAGTGCAACGGGCTGTTCCGTTGGAGAAGCTGAAAAGAACCACGGTGTACTATGTGCATGCTCAATTTCATACCAACTTAACTATCAAATGTAGTGGGGATACTCAAACATACTCAAACACATGTATTCCGCAAAACAAGAATTTCAACATTTTCTATAAAACAAAATAAAACTTCATGCACTTTTCAAACATCTCAATAATAGTATCTATTATTGTACATTAAAAATTTAAACTATTAACTAACATATCGGTGTACTTCCATCGCCATGAGCTCCGTCCTCTACGGGGAAAACGATCTCCAAACAATCTCTGCTCCACCCTATCCTGTTCTGCACTAACATATATTTCTACTCCGCACTAACATATATTTCTTGTTCATATTTTTTCTTGAAATCATCAGACTCGCTATCCTCGCTATCCTGTATGTAAATAAACAAAAACATTTTAATTAAAATATGTCCATTGAATGCATATGCCAATAATTTAAAATGGAGAAAAATAATTACGAGTAATACATAAAAAACTAGCACAAGAACAAGAAAATCCACTTCCATCCCAAGAAAAAAAATCAGAGGACTACCTTTCATAATAGGCCAAAACAAGATTACTTTCTGTTTGAAAACTAATTACTACTATCACATTCTACATACACACTTGTATCCTAAAGAAAACTAAACAAGAATTTTATTATCAAACTATCAAAAATACCTTGTGCCACGCTGACATAATATTTTCGTAGGTCTCTATTCTCCTTTGAGTTTGTTTTTGTCTCTTGTTTCCCTTACGTTGCCCATCTACAAACAATTTCAAAAAAAACTTATTTATAGTGGTCTAAAAATGTCTCATCAATCAAAATCTTTAAATCATTAATAAAAATGCTTATTAATATATTTTTCAACAAAAGTAAATAAAAAGCAAAAGGGGAGGACCGAACCAAAGCCCTCCGAAAATTCAAAGACCAACATCAACCAAACCACGTGTAAAATACCTAACTAACCATTGATAATAATAGTAGATACTTTGACCCTAAAAAGCTCAAGCATATCCAAGGGTGCTCTACGCAATACCAACCATCAATTTGTGTGGACTCTCCAAAGATCAAGCCTAGTAATACAACCAAATCTGCAATAAATTGCCAAAGTAATAAAAAAAACTTATTGTCTTCTGATGCTAAGTTAAAACCAAAATGCAGCAAGAAAACCACCAATGCCAATGCACAAAAACTCAGTAGTAATTCACACTCACACATAGATTTCCTTATTTCAATTCATACTTCTAGAAAATAAGTTTATGAATTTCAGTGGTAAAGGATTTGCTTCAAAACCCACACATCAAACCAAGTAATGCAAACCTACACATTTCTATTCATATCAGAGTAGAGAATATCCATCTGAATTTATTCAAACAACATTTTTGACTAATATAATCGCAAACTCAGATTCAAACCAATGTTTGAAAAGGCGAAACCTAAACGCGCCTTGAGGCGCGCCTCAGAACTTTTTCCGGAAAAAACGCCTCAAGGCTAATCCCGTTTTCACGCTATAGGCTTTTTTACGCTATTCTTTGTAAGGCGTACGCCTTGGGGCGTACGCCCCGGGGCGCGCAATAAGGCTTACGCAATAAGGCTTACGAAATTGGAAATTAAATAATTTAAATTTTGGGTATTGAACCGTTTAAGTTGTCAATTACTCCAATTAATTAACCCAAATAAGGTGTATATATCCTAAAATCACCCAAAATTAGTGTCGATTACCCTACTAATCTTTGTCGATTATTTTGGCGAGCTACGAACCGTCTCCACTCTCCAGCCGTCCAGCGTCGGCGTCTGCAGTCTTCTTCCCCGTCGGCGTCGGCGTCTGCGTCCACCCTTCTTCTCCGGCGAAAAGGTATGCAGTCTTCTTCCCATCTGTCTGCGTTTTTTTAATCTTTCTTGCTGCGTATTTTTAATCTTTCTTGCTGCGTTTTTTTAATCTTTCTTGCTGCGTAACTGCGTTTTTTTACTCTTTCTTGCTCTTTCTTGCTGCGTTTTTTTAATCTTTCTTGCTGCGTAACTGCAGTCTACTTTTCTTTACTCTTTTTTTTCTTCTTTTTTTGATTACTGATGTGCTAATTGTCATATTTTTTTTGGTTTTTAAGATGAATTATTGCATAGTATCGTATTGTTTATTTTGCTGTTTCAGAAATTAGAATATTGCTTAGATGTCGGACCCAGCATGGAAGTATGGTGTTGACTCAACACTTACAATCGAAGGAAAAAAAAACTACAAATATGTAAGCTGTAATTTTTGTAAAAAAGATGTCAAAGGCGGGATTAGTCGATTTAAGCATCATCTTGCTGGTACAAGGAAAAATTCTGCACCTTGTGAAAAGGTTCCTAATGAAGTTAAACAAGAGATGTTATCTACTTTGAATTTGGCCACACAAACAAAACAGGTGAACATGAGAAATCGAGAGGAGCTCATTGATAGTGGTGCATACTACCGAAATACAGAGTCAATTGTTGGTTCATCAAGCGGTGGTAGCAACTCCAATAGGGGAGTGCGCGGTCCAATGGATAGATTTGTTGTGGATGTTAATGTTGACACTCCTGATACTATTCCAGAAAAACCAATGAGCGAAAGAGAAGCTAGAGATAGAGTTTGCCTAGATGTGGGAAGATTTTATATTGAGAATGGTATTCCATTTCATGTTGCAAATTCTCCTTC